AATCTTAAATTTATCATACTCTGAAATTCACCATGAAACAGGACTGTATTAGTTGTACTGTTGAAGACTATGTTCAAAATGCCATGTACCTTTTGGTTATATTCTTCATCATCACTCACAAAATCAGATGGCATATTTTGCATGAATTCAAAGCAGATTCCTTTTTTGGAAAACATGGGAACCACATTCCTCAACAAGATCTCTGCTATGTTGCCAACGTCAAGGTAAAACACCCCAATCCAGGTCCAACCAAAATTCAGAAAGAGCTGGAGAAGTCCTTTGTACTGATGGCTTGCATTTGGCAACATCCAATAAAAGAAAGGAGATTGAGTTTGAACATTGATCTCTGGAGCAGAGCTATATGCAACCTGGACCACAGAAGGAAATGAGAAAGGAAAACAATTAGATCTAGTGTGAATTGAGACTCTTCCTCTATCCTTTTTGCATTACTACACTCACTACAAGGGACGCAGTGGCTCAGTGGCTCAGACGCTGAGCTTGTCGATCGAAAGGTCGGCAGTTCAGCAGTTTGAATCCCTGGTGCCGCTTAACCGGGTGAACTCCTGTTACTTGTCCCAGCTTCTGCCAACCTAGCACTTCGAAAGCACGTCAAAAATGCAAGTGCAAAAATAGGGACCACCTTTGGTTGGAAGATAACAGTGTTCCATGCACCTTTGGCATTCAGTCATGCTGGTCACATGACCACAGTGATATCTTCGGACAGCGCTGGCTCTTCAACTTTGAAACAGAGATGAGCACTGCCCCTTAGAGTCGGGAAAGACTAGCATATATTTGTTAGGTGAACCTCTACCTTTACCTTTAGACTCACTACATTTGAACTCCTTGTTCCAAACTTCAGCTGAAATCATCCAACCTAACTTTATTTTGAGTCACATATGAAAAGTCTATTGCATGAACTGAATTGTTGGAGACCCAGTACACACTCCTAAGTACATTCCTCTTTTTTGTGTGTGACAAAGAACTTACTTGCACCATCTTGTAAGGTGTCATGATGGTAGCCCTATCAAGAAACTCAGTAGAACTTGGTCCCCCTATGGCAGCTACCAAATCATTATGAAGATGACACTTATAGTTTGGGATGAATCTATTTGGAGTGGAGAGAAGTTCAATTGCAGCTAGGTAGGTGTATCTTGGATTAAAATAGTCATTATAGATACTGAAGCCTAAACTGATGTTGGGTAAGAACTGGGGATTTTCATTAATTTCCTTTACAGCAAAAACCAAAGCTAAGACTTGCTGATAGCTTTGAGTCAGTAACCTGGAATAAAAAAGAGAAATAGTATTGCAGTATTCTCTGTGCAATTGTTTGAGAAGGAGAAGTGTATAATAGACTTACAATGTGTAGTAGTTTTTACTATGAATGCTTATGTTCATTATTATTAAAGTAATCCCTAAATTATTTCTGGGGTAAAAGGTGTTTTGGCTATTAGAGAATATACATAGAATCAAAGGGCAGGGAATGACCTTAACGTCCAAATTCTGTCTCAAGGAAGGAGGTCTTGGTCAAATGGTTATCCAGTCTGTTTTTGAAAACCTTCAGTAATGAAACTCCCACAATTCTGTTCCATTGATTAATTATTCTCACTGTTAGAAAAATCCTTCTAACTTCGAGAATGGATCTTCTCTTTAACAAGGTTCAACCTGTATGTAATTTTAAAATTACATTCTTCCATTCTTCCCTTGAGGACCTGTATACTGCACAAGTCAAAAAGAGGGCTGTGAAAATATCTAAGACTGTATTACTATTATTCTTCTCTTCCTCACTAGTATCTACCTCTTCCCATTTATATGCTTGTATCTTTCAATTATATTGTTTTTATTTGTTTCCTAGTACAATTTTATAACTTATTAGTAACCTTGACTATCACTAAGTGGTGTATCTTTTTATTCTCGATGAACGTATTTTATTCCCCTTATGTACAGTGAGGGCATAAATGCCTAAGACAAATTCCTCGTGTGTCCAATCACACTTGGCCAATAAAGAATTCTATTCTATTCTAAAAAAAATAATAAATATAGCTACTTACACAGGGTTCAAAATTAAGTCCTGGAATGGGTGTCTTCTGAATTCCATTGTCTCAATATAAATGAACGACTGTGAGGAGATGCCACCAATGATCCTATCTCCTGGCTGAAAATATTTATGAAAGATATTAATGGGCTGGGTTCCGGGGCATTTTTGCGCTGGAAGCCTGCTGACAGACATAGGAAAAGGCCCTAGAACCAATAATCTGAATATTATCATCATGAATAAAGATATCTGTGTAAAAGAACATTTCTCCATAGGGCCCATTAATGTATAGCCTCAAGTTACATATCCTAAGTCAAGGAGCAAAATATCTCTGACTAGCCTCTTAATACAGTTTTTCTCTGTATCATCCCAATTCTGAAGTGTTATGGGGATATTTAAGCTTATCTTTTTTTTTTCTTACTTTGAACTGTAAAAACATTAACAGAGCTGAGAATTCTCCACAGACCTAAAGAAGCTGCAGACCAATCCAAAGTTCATAATTATTGAGTAGGTAATTATTCTTGGGTTAACTCTGATGCAATAATTTCCTTGTACACCAGAAAAAGTAAAAGAATACCATTAAAAGCAATGTAAGAAAGGAACATTTTCATAATAGAAAGTCACTTAGGAAATTTCTTGAAATCAAAATCTAGTAGTTTTCCTGAATCAACACAAGACACTATGAAATCATAGACTTTTCTGAGAAAGTAAAAATATCCTTCATATTGTGATTTATTTTATTACAACCTCCACAGTAAAGTTACCTAGAAAACATCGATATATCGATATAAAATATTTCAGCAAAATGGTGTTCGGAGCAGTTTGGAGAACCGGCAAATATGACATTTGGCTAGCCCCAGAGTGGGGTGGGAATGGAGATTTTGCAATATCCTTCCCCCAGGAGTGGGGGAGGGATTGGGCATTTTGCAATATCTTTCCCCTGCCACACCCACCAAGCCACGCCCACCAAGCCATGCCCACAGAACCGCTAGTAAAAAAAATTGGAATTCACCACTGGTACATGCTATCTATTATGTTTATTCTTGTGAACATGCGGTCCACTGGGAAAATATCTTAATTAACTCTGTGTTGATAGACTTTCTCCTTTAATATGTGGCTTAGGCCCCAGCAACTTATTTGGGGGTTTAAAGAAGTTTGAGTAAAGATTTTTCTCTGTTTCTTTTTTTACTTAATTAACTTAGTTTCAGCTTGACTGTCAATTATCTATAAGAGACGCTGATTCTTGGTCCATTGTGGATTCTGTTAATTTTTTAAGGGAAGATGGACACAGTATAAGGAATAAAATGTAGTTTCAGCTAGAAAACTGTGAACATCCTAGATCAAGCCAAGTCAGTGGTGGGTTGCTACAGATACACAGTGGTTTGGGTGAACCAGTAATGCCAATGATCCCATGGTAGCGAACCGGTTGCCCCCGACGTTCAGATTGGCCCACCCGCCTGCCTGGGCTCCTTTTTTACCTTTATCTTCTCAGCTGATTAGCGTGGCAGAGTAGATTGCCATGCAAATCAGCTGTGCTCTCCCCAGTAGAAATGTGGAAATGGAAAGCTTTTGCAGACTGTGCACGCATGCATAGCGGGCATTTGGCGCATGCGTGTGCAAAGCACAAAGCGTGCACACAAAGTGCACAATCAGTGAACTGGTAGTATAACCAGGAGGAACCCATCACTGAGCCAAGTCCCAAAACACCAGTAATGGAAGTCTGGCACTCAGAGATATCAACCATCAAAAGGCACATGTGTGTAGGGGACTCATCTCCATTTCTTAGCTGAGGGAACCAGCATTGTCCGAAGACATTTTCCACGTTACATAGTCATGTGGCCATCATAACTATATTACTGACAAGGTGCCCGTTTATTTACTCGCATTTTTATGCTTTCAAACTGCTAGGGTGGGCAGGAGCCGGGACACATAATAGTAGCTCATACAGTTGCACAATGCTCAGGTCTCAAACCTGACTAGCTCAGCAACTTTAATCTTGTGTGTGTGTGTGTGTGAGAGAGAGAATTTCCTATGTCTGCAAGGGCAGATGTGCCTTTGAGCCAATCTGGATTCCTGGCAACTATATGGACAATAAAAATTTGTAGGCCAAGTTGTTTTTTAAGTGGCTTTCTTTTGTCTCCTTCCCTTGGTTGAGAAGGAGTGACTTCCCTAAAATCACCCAGTGACTCTTCTACTTATGGCAGGACTACAATTCACAATCTCCCAGTTTCTTTTCCAGTGCTTTTAACCACTACAATAAATTGGCCTTCCGCCAAGGGTGAAATCCACCAGGTTCTGACAGATTCTGGAGAACCAGTAGCAGAAACTTTGAGGAGTTCAGAGAACCGGTAGCGGAAATTTTGAGTAGTTTGGAGAACCGGCAAATACCACCTCTGACTGACCCCAGAGTAGGGTGGGAATGGAGATTTTTCAATATCCTTCCTCCAGGAGTGGGGAGGGAATGGGGATTTTGCAGTATCCTTCCCTGGAGTGGGGTGGGAATGGAGATTTTGCAGTATCCTTCCCCTGCCACGCCCATCAAGCCACATCCACAAAACCGGTAGTAAAAAAAATTGGATTTCACCACTGCCTTCCATCCTCACTTTAAAGCACTATACATCTAACAATTTGCAATATATTACTAGAACTGAGGGGAAAAAAACTAATTTCCCATGAAATACTCATCACATTTCATTTTGTATTTGGAGCTGAAAGGATAGGAGTATCTGCAAATATTTTTTACAGTCGTCATGTTTTATTACAAGATTTCTATGAAGTTTACATCCCAGTGAAGAAGTTATAAGAATGGTTATTCCAATCCATCTATGATTAATTCTAATCAGATAGTGTTTGTGCAAATGGAACATGCTATTGTGACGAAGCCTAGTTTCTTTAAAATAAAATAAAATTATAGCCTCTTTCATGTAGACAAGTATTTTTTTTTCCGTCTCATCAAATGTTCCCTGCTATTTAACTCAGGCCTTAAAACAATTATATAGCATTTGGGAGAAAAAATACAAATCAATAAACCACACCAGAGGCCAAGATGGAGAAGATCTCCACAGCTACCATGTATTTCCCCTTGGTGCATAAGTAGATTGGAACAAAGGACAACCAAACAGCACAAAATAGCAACATGCTGAAAGTGATAAACTTGGCTTCATTAAAACTGTCAGGCAACTTTCTGGCCAGGAAAGCAAGAGTAAAGCAGATAACAGCCAAGATACCCATAAAAGCCAATACACAATAAAATATGATAGCAGAACCTTCATTACATTCCAGGACAATTTTTTCAGGTATTGAGTGGGTATCAAAATCTGGGAATGGAGGTGAGGTTGCCAACCACAATATACAAATACAGGCTTGAATAAAAGAACTAGAAAGAACAATGTAGGTTGCTAGTCTTTTCTCCACCCATTTTCTCATTTGAGATCCTGGCTTGGTGGCCATGAAGGACAGAACCACAATGATGGTTTTGGCTAATACACAAGAAACCGCCACTGTAAAGATGATGCCAAAAGCTGTTTGGCGGAAGAGGCATGGTAACTTCTCAGGCCGTCCAATGAACAGCAAGGTATAAATGAAGCAGAGGGAGAGAGATATGAGGAGAGTATAGGTAAGGTTCCAGTTATTGGCCTTCATGATGGGAGTATCCTCGTGCTCGAGGAAGATTTTAAGTACCGCAGCTGTAACAAAAGAGAAGGAAAGAGCAAATATGGCCAAGCTAATCCCTAAAGATTCTTCATAAAATAAGAAGTTTATATCTTTTGGAAGGCATGCATCTTGGTCATAGTTTGGATATTTATCCTCTGGACACTGGACACAGTCATCCATATTTGGAAAAGAAAACATTAGCAAAATAAATAAATAAATCTAGAATGATTTAGAAATGTACATAGATTTCTACTGAAATTTTGTAGTGTATGCACAACTTCAATAGATGAATTCTCCTCACCTTACATAATGGGTCTACAAGTAGTTATAAACATTCTCTTCCTTATTTAAGAACAAAACTATATTATATAAACAAATATTACTCTCCCTCCCTCCCTCCCTATCTCTGCCTCTCTGTCTCTCTCTGCCTCTTTCTTTTCTCTCTGTCCCTGTCTGTCTCTGTCTTTTCCTCCCCACTCTCTCTGTTTGTGTGTCTCTCTGATTCTCTGCCTCTCTCTCTCTCTCTGCCTCTCTCTGTATTTCTCTCTGTGTGTATATACACACACTCACAAGACCCCCCCCTCTCTCTCTGCCTCTCTCTGTATTTCTCTCTGTGTGTATATACACACACTCACAAGACCCCCCCCTCTCTCTCTTGGGGTTAGCTCAGACATTATACTAATCTTCAAATCTCTCTGTTAACCATCAGTTACTATATAATTTACTATAATTTGCAGAAAGTCCAAAAATGACCTCCTGTCTCTCATGAAACCATCTAGTTCATTGTCTTTTACATTTCCAACACTATACATTTTCACTAATCCATCTGGAGTCAAATACCAAAGATACATCCTTTTATTTTAAAAAAAAAATTTCAAACTATAGTTCAAAATAAATTTTAATTCATTAGTCCATAGATGGACTACATTTATCTAGCATTATGATGTCAAGTAGAATTTAAATGCTGCATACCGTTGCATTTCCACCAGTGGAGGAAACAAAAAAAGTTGAAAATATAGTTTAATTCACTCTTTTTGTTAATTGCTCCCTTTTATTAAGATCTGGTCTAATTATAATGATGTAACATTTTGGGAAAAAGATAAAAGCCAGGAGCCCAGCACTAGAGGCCAAGATGGCAAAGATCTCCACAGCTGTTGTGTATTTTCCTTTGGTGCTTATATAGGCAGGCACAAAAGACAACCAGACACTGCAAAACACCAGCATGCTGAAAGTAATTGACTTGGTTTCCTGAAATGTGTCTGGTAACTTCCTAGCTAAGAAAGCTGCAATAAAACTGACTATAGCCAGGAAACCCATAAAACCTAAAATAGAATAAAACATTGCAACAGATCCTTCATTACATTCTATAATTATTTCACTACTTATGGACCACATATCTATATTTGGGAAGGGGGGAGAAGTTCCAAGCCATACAGTACAAAAGGTACTTTGAACAAGAGAACAGGAAAGAACAATGAAAAGGGCCAGTCTATTCCCAACCCATGTCCTCATCCTTGATCCTGGTTTGGTGGCCATGAAAGCAAGAACCACAATGATGGTTTTGGCCAACATGCAAGAAACAGCCACTGAGAAGATGATTCCAAAAGCAGTCTGTCGAAGGAGACAGGTCACCTTCACGGGTCGACCAATGAAAAGCAGAGAACAAAGGAAGGAGAGGAGGAGGGAAATGAGGAGGGTGTAGGAGAGGCTGCGGTTGTTGGCTTTGATGATGGGAGTGTTGTGGTACTTCAAGAAGATTCCTAACACCAGTATTGTGATAAAAGAAAGCACAAGAGCTGATGTAGCTAAGCCGGCCCCCAATAGTTCTTTGAAGGATAGGTAAATTACATGCTTTGGCATGCATAAATCCTGGTGGTTGTTTGGATACTGATCTTCTGGGCACTGGAAGCAATCATCCATATCTGGAAAACCAAATGTTTATATTTAAATCAAAATATACCAGAAAGCTTGGAATTCTTTTTGTAGATGATGGTACCATTATTAACATAAACCATGTGAGTAACTTTTATGATTGAACTTCAATGAAACTAGTTGTTGTTACCTCCCTACTTCCTTCCCTCCCTCCCTTTCTTCTTGGTATTGATCTTGCTATTAAGACTCCACCCTCTCCCTTTGTGCATGTGACTCCTTCCTTCCATTTTTGTCAATTTCAAAGCAATTTTACTATGTATTGTTTTAATATTTCATATTGTTTCTATTCATTATAAGCTATCTAGATCACCTGGAGGTGATATGCTTGGCATGTAAGTCAAATCAATAATCAATAAATCATGAATCGACGAATGAAGAAATAAATAAATGAATAAATAAATAAATAAGTAAATAAATAAATAAATAAATAAAATTTGAATTATTGAATAAAAGGTTGGGGGGCTTATTCCAATACTTTCAGTGGTGGCATTCAAATAATTTAACAACTGGTTCTCTGCCCCAATGACCGGCTTGGTGGGCGTGTCCATGGTGGATGTGGCCGGGGTTGTGACAGACAGCACTTGGCTTCCTGCAACCCCCTGGGAGCAAAAATGTGCCATGGGAGGGTGGACCCGCCACCCCCGTGCCTTATTTGGGATCTAGGAGGCCTCCCTCCAGCCTCCTGGGAGCAAAAATGGACGAGCTGCCCCCCAAACCCCATTTTGGGTCTAATAGTCCTTCCTGAAGTCTTCTGGGAGTGAAAATGGGCCACGGGGGCGGAACACCCCATGCCTCATTTTGGGCCTAGTAGGCCTCCCTGCACTTACCTGGGAGCCAAAATAGGGGACTCCGGGATGGGGCGGGGGCAGCTAGCAATTTAACTACTAGTTCGCCTGAACTGGCCCGAACCAGCTGAATCCCTCCACTGAATACATTTATGTGTAAAAATGTTTAGGTCAGAATAAGATTAACAGTAAGAGGAGGAGAAAACTTTCTCCGGCACCTTTTATCAGTTCAACAGTGAATGTACAATACTTAACTGCACGATCATAGAAATAGCAATAGCACTTAGATTTAAATTTCATTTCATAGTGCTTTAAAGCCATCTCTAAGTGGTTTACAGAGTCAGCATATTTCCCCAACAATCTGGGTTGCCATTTTAGCAACCTCAGAAGGATGGAAGTCTGAGTCAACTTGAGCTCGTCAGGATCAAACTTCTGTCTGCGGGCAGAGTTAGCCTGCAATACTGCATTCTAAGCACTGCACCACCACAGTTCATTGAACAGCTATCCACACAAAAATTTGGTCCTTGTTGTCTACATCTTTTGAATCCATTGGATAACAAGACCCAAATGGAGCACATAAGAGTCATACATTAGGGTTCCAGTGTCTGAACAATGGTAATAACGCTGATTGGCATACCAAAAAATAGCTGGCAATAGATGCTCCTGGCCATAGCAATTATTTGTTCCTCCAGTAGCATCAATAAATCTAACAGAATATCAAAACTACATGTCTATACTTTTTGGGAGCATGAAACACCATTTTAAGTGGCCAGTCTTCAATTCCTAGGGCAAGGACTCCCATACCGAAGACTCCATCTTTCAAGATTTGTATCAGTTTCTTGCTACTCCTCCATCTTATCACCACATTTAGGAACTGGAACAGAACACTCCTAGTCCCTCTTCACTGAGGTGTTATGGGGAAGGGAGCTGTGAATTAATGGCCTGTTAAATCTTTACAATCACAGAGAGAGAAGGGACAATTTAGCCCAATTCAAGATCTACACAGACTAGAAATAGAAGTAAAAGCATCTTTGTAAGGTTACTGTCTGACTTCTGCTTCTGCACATGAAATAAAGGAGAATCCTTACCTATGCACAATCAACTTCACTGTTTTCTTTCTTTCTTTCTTTCTTTCTTTCTTTCTTTCTTTCTTTCTTTCTTTCTTTCTTCCTTCCTTCCTTCCTTCCTTCCTTCCTTCCTTCCTTCCTTCCTTCCTTTCGTCCTTCCTTCCTCCCTCCCTCCCTTCCTTCCTTCCTTTCTCTCTCTATCCCTTCCTTCCTTCCTTCCTTCCTTCCTTCCTTCCTTCCTTCCTTCCTTCCTTTCTTTCTTTCTTTCTTTCTTTCTTTCTTTCTTTCTTTCTGTCTTTCCTCTCAACTCTTTCTTCCTCCCCCCCTTCCTCTTTTTACCTGTCTGGTCTGAAATCTTCCCCTTTGGACATAGAGTGCAATTATAGCAGCAAAATGATCGTCCTTCAATTTTGGTCTTTCTATAGCCTGGATGGCATTTCTCATTACAGAGTGAAAGAGGCCGTTCCTTTGCAAGAATGAAAAAGATAGTTTGTTATGTAGAAAATGACTTTCAAATTCTGTATTTGTAAAGCTTAAAGATATCTGGGAATGGATGGTAGTTCTCCATTCTCTGAGAGGAAAACCTGACGTGTGAACATAAAACTGAAATCTGAACAGTCATCTGTCATCAAACGTAGAAGGAAATGGTTTTCCAGAATATTCTAATGACTCGAGCTGAAACCAAATTTAGGACATCATATTTATTGTTTTAGTCAGTTTAGAACCCTCTAGAATCAAGCTCAACTTATAATGAATATAAGGTCTCATCTTGTTCTTTCTTTCTTTCTTATTCTTTATTTGTTTTAATTTGTATACCGCCCTTCTCCAACGGGACTCAGGGCGGTGAACAGCCAGAATAAAACAGAACATACAAAATTTAAAAACAGTTTAAAAATAATTAAATATTTTTGACCACAATTTAAAACAACCCAATTAAAATTAATTAAATTTAACCAAAAACTGTGAGATCAAGCCAGCCCGGCTAGGTGAAATAAATAAGTTTTCAGGGCCTGATGAAAAGTCCAGAGGTCTGGTATTGTACGTATTTCTGGGGGGAGGTTGTTCCAGAGGGCGGGCGCCGCCACAGAGAAGACTCTCCCCCTGGGGGTCACCAGCCGACACTGTCTGGTGGACGGCACCCTGAAGAGGCCCTCTCTGTGTGAGCATACTGGCCGGTGGGAGGCTATTGGTGGCAGAAGGCGGTCTCGTAAATACCCTGGCCCTAAGCCATGGAACGCTTTAAAGGTGGTCACCAACACCTTGAAGCGCACCCGGAAGACCACTGGGAGCCAGTGCAGCTCACGCAGGAGAGGTGTCACATGGGAACACCCCGTTGCTCCCATAATCCCCTGCGCAGCCACATTCTGGACCAGCTGGAGCCTCCGGGTGCACCCCAGGGAGAGCCCCATGTAGAGAGCATTGCAGTAGTCCAGGTGGGAGGTGATGAGTGCCTAAGTGACCGTGTGTAGGGAGTCCCGATCTAGAAAGGGACGCAACTGGCGTATCAGGCGAACCTGATAAAAAGCCCCACTGGCCATGGCCGTCATATGCTCTTCTAAAGACAGCCGTGCATCCAGGAGGACACCCAAGTTGCGAGCCCTCTCCGTGGGGGCCAATAATTCACCCCCAATAACCAGCGATGGCACCAGCTGGCTATATCGGGACACCGGAAGCCACAGCCACTCGGTCTTGGAAGGGTTGAGTCGGACCCTGTTTCTACCCGTCCAGGGGGTATTATTTTAACTATAATACTGGTGTAGTTTTCCATTACATTTTGATTTTAGTTTTTTATGTATGCATTTATTCAATATCCCATTTAGCCAAAAGTGGGGAATTTCTACTAAGAATAATTAGGTGCCACCCAGTACATAATTTTAAGATTCAGAATATAATAATCAATATTTTGTGCTCATTTTATCCAACACTGTTGTGTATGGGCTTAATTTCTCTGTCCAATTCTGTCCTAGCAGTGTTACTGCCTAAAAGAGCAACAAATATGCAATTTGGAATAAGTCAACATTAGTAGAAACCATTTCAGAAGTCTGTGGGATGTATTCTCTGCAATCATCAAGATGGAGTTATCTGTGATTGAAAAATAAGAAAAGAATATATCCAAGATGCCACTATAAATCCCTCCATAATGAAGAATGATTTTGAAATTAGTGCGATCACTAAAAATATATATAGTGATTTTTTATGATAATCCCTAACATTTTTAGAGATGGTACTCATTATACAACTTGGAGAGAAGAACTGGTATTTGCTCAATTTTGCTCAGCCATGTGGTACAATCCCAGATTATTAAATTGAGATGAAGAAAATATGCAAGAAATCTTTATTCACTTTAAGATTGTTAAATTTTGGGAGATCTATCTTTAAATGTCTTTCCGTTAAAGAAATTGAATTTTCTAAGTTTGCGGAATTGTAGAAAATTAATACAGAAAGAAAGACAATGTTTTATCACTCACACCACAAATTCTAATAGATTTTCCTGAGTCTTAGTGAAACCTAAAATCATGCAGGTAGTACTTCAGGGAAGATCAATTAATATTTTACTATAATATGTGTGTGTGTGTGTGTGTGAGAGAGAGAGAGAGAGAGAGAGAGACAGAGAGAGAGACAGAGGCACACACAGAGAGAGAATGTTGGAACTGATATTAAAATCATGGTTGCTCTACAATAGCACATTTACAAAGAAAATTTTTAAAAAGGGTTCAGAAGCACAGACTTTAGAACGTGGGGAACAGGTAGCTTTCTACTGAGTTATGAACCAGAATATACAACAATAGCCAGAATAAAATGGAACCAACATATTTTGAAATGAGATGAACCTCACCTGATTAAACTGGTTGGGCCAAATGATCTTCTCTTCAGAAACAGTCAACAGTCTGTCGGAATCCATTCCTGCTTCTATCTCTCCAACTTTGACTCTAAAAAATGTCTGGTTTGGAAATGTGATCCAGTTTATGACACCAAATCCTGCAACCATTTCCCCATTGTTATCAAAGGAAATCTTCTCTCCAGTACTGCTATTAAATGATACGCTTTGCAGAAAGTGGTGGAGCTTTAAAAAAGAGTGGACGAAAAAGTTAAAATGATGGAAATGCATTTCATTAGATCAGCATCCATATTGTATCAAATCGTCCCTCAAAACTTTCAGTAGGCTACTGTAATGGATATTAACAGTTTAGCAAACGAAGCATTAAATCAGGTTTTTTTGTATTTTTTTTTTATTTTTAAAACAAAACATAAAACATAAATTCATCATCCATTACAATTGCAAACAGTGTGTTGGTCGGTTACAAGTCTTTTGTGTTTCTTCACATATTCATAATTTACTAATTATCTAATTTCTCATATTATCAAACTGATAAGTATCTTTATATTATTATCCTCATTTATCATTTATTTAACTATGGCATTCTCATTTCATAAAAATTATTTTCAAGCATTATATTATAACCTTCATTTCATATTTCATTTCCACGTTTTATTATCTAGCCATTGATAAAATAAATCCCATGTCTTATAATATTGTTTATCTTCTTGTTCTCTAATTTCAAATATCAATTTACTCATTTCAGCACATTCCATGATTTTCTTAATAACCTTATCTTGCATTGGTATTTTCTCATTTTTCCAGTTTTTAGCAAACACAATTCTAGCCGCTGTTCTCAATTCTCTATTGTATGTTTCTGGCACAATCCCTAATAAAAAAAACTCTGGTTTAAAGTCTACGTGCTTTTCTGTCATTTTTCCAACCATGTATGGATTTTAGTCCAGTATCTTTTAGCTTCAGCACATGTCCACCACATATGGTAATATGAACCCGGTATCTGATGACATTTCCAACACTTCAGATTTGTTCTTGAATATTCTGTAAAACACCTGTAAAACATCTTATACAAGTTTTCCTTATATGCAGTTGATATTGTCATTTTATAATTTTGCAACCACAGTTTTTGCCATTTCTCTAAATCGATTCCATGTCCAAAATTTCCCCCCCAAGCAATCATTGTTTCTTTAACTTGTTCATCCTCCAATTTAATCTCTAATAAATATCCATACAATTTTTTATTATGTTTTCATCAGTACCTGTTAAGGTTTTGTAAAAACCTTCTGTCTTGCAATCTTTATCATATCTAGAATGTATCTGCATATAAGAAAACCAATTCATCTTTAAACCTTGGTCTTCCAATTCTTGCTTAGATTTAAGTTCACCCTTTTCATTCAAAAGTTCACTATATCTAACAATTTGTTCCCTTCTAAATGTTATTGAATATGAAAAAGCTTCAATCGTTGATAACCAGACTGGAATTTTTAAATAGTGTTGTTTTTTAATCTTCTCCCAATTTAATAACAAAGCCTCTCGTATATAATGTCTTCTAAAGTACCCCTGTGTTTTTGTTCCCTTGTACCATAAAAAAGCGTGCCATCCCAACAATAAGTTATGTCTTTCTAAAGTCAATAATCTAGTATATTTTATCATTATCCATTCTTTAATCCACATCAAACTTGTCGCTTGATAATAAAGTTCCCAATTAGGCAAATCAAAACCTCCTCTTGTTCTAACAATTTCAATTTTATCCTCACCTTTTTACCCTGCCAAATATATTTTAACATCATTTTATTCAAGTCTTCAAAATAATCCTTTCCCAATCTAATTGGAACTGTCTGGAACAAATCTAGAATTCTAGGCAATATATTCATTTTAATAGTTGATATTCTCCCTATCAATGATAGTTGAAAATTTTCCCATTTTGTCAAGTCTGTCCCAATCTGTTGTTTGAGTTTATTATAGTTATTCTCTTTAAGTGTGCTACATCTTGCTGTCAGATATATCCCCAAATATTTAACCTTATTTGTGACCTGCATCTTTGATATTTCTGCCAGTTCTTCTTTTTGTTTTGTTAACATATTTTTTGTCAAAATCTTCGTTTATCTTTATTAATTTTCAGACCTGCTGCTTTACCAAATTCTCCTATTTTGTCTACCAGAGTAGTTATTGACTCTAGTGGATCTTCAAGAATAGAAACCAGGTCATCTGCAAACGCTTGCAATTTATATTCTTCCTTTTCAATTTTCATTCCTTTTATATCTTTTTCTTCTCTGATATTTCTATTTAGCACTTCTAATGTTAATACTAACAACAGGGGGGTGGGGGCAGTGGACAGCCTTGTCTCGTTCCTTTTTTTATCTCAATAGATTCTGTCAATTCTCCATTTATCATTATTTTTGCTGTTTGTTTGTGGTATATATCTTCTATTGCTTGGATAAATTTCCTGCCAAAACCCAGAATAACACCAAATCCTGCAACCATTTCCCCATTGTTATCATTGTTTCCTTAACTTGTTCTTCTGCCAATTTTACTTCTAATAAGTAACCGTACAGTTTTTTAATTACATAGTCATCAGAACCTGTTAAAATTTTATCCAAATTCGTCAAATTGCTATAAAAACCCTCCATTTTAAAATCTTCGTCATATCTAGACTGTATTTGCATATATGAAAACCAATCCATTTCAATCTCTTGTTCTTCTAATTCTTGCTTCAACTTAAGTTCACCCTTTTCATTTAATAATTCACCATATCTGACAATTTGTTCCTTTCTAAATGTTATTGAGTGTGAGACTGCTTCAATAAGAGATAACCAGACTGGAATTTTTAAATAATGACATTGTTTGATCTTCTCCCAATTTAATAACAAAGATTCTTGTATCATATGCCTTCTAAAATAACCCTGTATTTTTGTACTTTTATACCATATAAAAGCATGCCAGCCAGGGTGGATAAAAATCAATGATTTTTTTAAAAAAATAAAAAAATCAGATTTTTTTTATTTAAATCGGATTTTTTTTATTCAAATCAGATTTTTTTTTATTTTTATTGAATTTATTTTAATAAAAAACTTTTGGGGTAAAAATCTATTGTAAGATAGTTTTCTATTTAAGATACATAAATAATTTAGTTTATTCAGCATGAAATGGAGCTTAGTTATGTAGCACAAGGCTGTATATTCAGCAACACTGGGACTATCGGTGAGTCAACAGCAGGTCAAAGGAGTAGCAGAGATGACAGTTGCTCTTTAAAAATTATGATTTAAATCGAGTTGATTTAAATCAAGTCTTTTTACTAGTGATTTAAATCATGATTTAAATCATGATTTAAATTGACTCGATTTAAATCAAATCCACCCTGATGCCAGCCCAACAACAAATCATGTCCTTCTAAAGTCAACAATCTAATATTCCTTAATGTTATCCATTCTTTAATCCACATCAAATTACAAGATTGATAATATAATTCCTAATCCGGCAAACCAAAACCTCCTCTTAGTCTAACATCTTGCAACAGTTTTAATTTTATCCTTGCCTTTTTACCCTGCCATATATATTTTAACACAATTTTATTTAAATCTTCAAAATATTTTTCTCCCAACTTAATTGGAATTGTCTGAAATAAATATAAGAGTCTGGGCAATATATTCATTTTAATAGTTGATATTCTCCCTATCAATGATAATTGCAAATTCTCCCATTTTGTCAGATCTGTCGCTATCTGTTGTTTAAGCTTATCATAGTTATTCTCCTTAAGAGTACCACATCTTGCTGTCAAACGTATCCCCAAATACTTGACCTTGTTTGTGACCTGCATCCTTGATACTTCCACCAACTCTTCTTTCTGTTTTTTTAACATACTTTTTTGTCAAAATCTTCATTTTATCTTTATTTATTTTCAAGCCTGCCACCTTCCCAAAATCTCCAATTTTATCTATCAGTTTGTTTATAGATTGAAGTGGATCTTCCAAAATAAACACCAGGTCATCCACAAATGCTTGCAATTTATATTCTTGGTTTTGAATTTTCATTCCTTTCATTCCTTTTTCTTCTCTAATATTTCTGTTTAGTACTTCTAATGTTAACACAAACAACAGTGGTGACAATGGGCAACCTTGTCTCGTTCCTTTTTGTATTTCAATGAATTCTGTCAGCTCTCCATTTATCATTACTTTTGCTATTTGCTTGTAATATATAGCTTCTATAGCTTGAACAAATTTCTCTCCAAAGCCCATCTGTTTCAATTGTAATACCATAAATCGCCAGTTCACATTGTCAAAGGCTTTCTGTGCATCTAAAAACATCAAAGCCATTTGCTTTTCTGGGTGCGCCTCATAATATTCCAAAGTATCCAGAATTATCCTCAAATTGTCCCTAATCTGCCTTTTCGGCAGAAATCCATTTTGATCCGAGTGTATAAAATTATTTAAGTATCTTCTAAGTCTTTCTGCTAGTATTGTAGCAAAGATTTTATAATCTGAATTTAGCAGAGATATAGGCCTATAGTTTTTGACTTGTTGCAGGTCGGTATCCTCTTTTGGAATAAGTGTAATATATGCTTCTAACCATGAGTTGGGTATTTCCTTCTTTAACATTACTTCATTCATAACTTCTAATAATGGGAGACTTAGTGATTCCTGTAAAGTCTTATAATATTCCGCCGGTAGTCCATCTGGACCTGGTGCTTTCCCACTTTTTTGTTTTTTAATTGCTTCGGTCAATTCCATCATCGTTATATTTCCTTCTAGCATCATCTCGACATCTTTTGGAATCTGGGGTAAATTCACCTTGTGTAAATATTGTTTAATACTTTCCTCTTCTATCTTTTCTTTTTCATATAGTTTTTTATAGTAGTCTTGTACAATGTTTTTCTTCTCCTCATTTCCAAATCTAATTTGTCCTTGCTCATCTATTAGCTGTGATATTTTCCTTGAGTCCCTTTCTTTTTTCAGTTTATATGCTAGCCATCTGCCTGGTTTATTAGCATCTTCAAAATATTTCTGTTTAGCATTCCTGATTTTTTGTGCTAAATCTTCTTTCTCTAGTAATCCCATTTTATGTTTGAT